CGGGCCGGGCGTCCTTCCCGGGAGAGGTGCACTGCGCCGCCCCGAGACGAGCCCGCCGCCCGGTAGCAGGGCGGCGACCAGGCGCCGGGGAGCCGAGCGTGGCCTGCGTTCGCTCCTTCCCTTGCCGGTGCTCCACCCGGCCTCGCTCCGGGCAGAGCTCCCCCGCGCTCCCGCGCCAGGCCTGCAGCAGGTGTTCAGGGGCTGCTTGCTGAACCAAGTGCAGAAGGAGAGGATCGCAGAGCTCTACCCGGGGCGTAGGAGGGCTCTGGCCTTGCGAGGGGCCTGCCCACGTGAGCTCCGAATCCGCCCGTCTTTGGGGTGGACGTGGGTCCCCCGACGTCCGGTGGCGGGGACCGGGCTGCAGGCGGGGGCGGGGCTCCCAGCTGGGACCTCGCTGATGCACTGGCTTCTTCCAGATCCCGCCCTCGGGGCAGCCATGAGCCTGGTGGCCTGTGAGTGTCTGCCCAGCCCAGGCCTGGAGCCCGAGCTCTGCTCACGACCCCGATCCCAGGCCTGTGCTTACCTGGAGCAGATTCGCAGCCGCGTGGCTGCGGGGGCCGCTGACATGGCCAAGTGTGACTACCTGGTGGATGCGGCCACGCAGATCCGGCTGGCCCTGGAGCGCGACGTTAGCGAGGACTACGAGGCGGCCTTCAACCACTACCAGAACGGCGTGGATGTGCTGCTCCGTGGGGTGCACGGTGAGGGCCAGGGCCGGGACAGGTGGGAAAGGGCCCTGTCCTTGGCCAGTGATGCCCTCTGTCACTCCACCCTGGTGGGGGCCGCTATGCTAGCTGCAGGGCCTCTGTGAAGGACAGTGGTAGTTAGCATTTATTAAGCAGCTCCTGTATGCCAGGCATTGAGCCTCACAGTAATAGAAATTATTATTGTTGCAGGTAGTTACAAAAATGTAGGAAGTGTTTTTTTGAGCCAGAGTCTCATTTTGTTGCTCAAGCTGGTCTAGAACTCCTGGGTTCAAGTGGTCCTCCTGCCTCAGCCTCCTGAGTGCTGAAAGTACAGATGTGCACCACTGTGCCCAGCAGGAACCATTTTTTTAATATTCATTTTCCAAATGGATAAACAGAGGCATGGGGCAGTTAAACAGCTTGCTCAAGGCTCCACAGCTAGCAGGGGCACAGCAGGGGTTGGATTAGCCTTGGCAGCGTTGGCTCCGGGTGCCCACTGTATTTGACCATCCCAGGACCCGGGCTGGGATGCTGTCCAGCTGGGATGCTGGGAGTTGGGGTGGGGTTGGGGGGTGACTGATGAGTTGATAACGACCCAGGCGGGAAGAGCAGTGAGGAAGCAGTTAAGGAAGGGAAGGGGAAACTGAGGCCGGGCTGGGCCGGCCCGGGACATTTCTGGAAGTGAAGTGAACGTACGAGCAGGGCAGCAGAGGGTGGGCTGTCCGGCGGAGGCCTGCTGGGGCTCCAGAGGGCGGCGCAGGCTGCGCAGCCCGCAGGAGAGGGGACGCCTGCTCGGGCAGAGTGGAGCATTGCCTCACTGGGGCAGAGGCGGTGCTGAGGCCTGCTTGAGACCCCTGAGGGCTTGAGGCTAGGCTGTGGGCAGGAGTGGGCCCGACTTAGCCCTCCTACGCCTGCGGAAGAGACCCCTCCAGGTCTGGGCCGCAGGCCTGTGCAGTGGAGTCCTTTGCCTTTATGACACGGCAGGGAGATGGAGGAGCCGGTGCCCTCTGAAGCTTCTCTTCTAAAACTCGGGGCGTGGAAACCCCTGCACCGCCCCTTCTCAGGGGCGTGTTGTGCGTGAGGAGCTGTCCGCCCCGGCCGGAGCTCTGGGCTGCAGGGGCTCCGCGAGGTGCCTGCACCTGCTGTGAGGTGGCGGTAGCTGAGGGGGACCTTGGCTCGCAGGCTCCTCTTGCCGTGGGCTTTCCTCCTCCCCTGCCGGCCTCCCGCACAGACCAGGGCTTGGGAACGGTCTGCAGAAGCAGCCTTGGAAACGGACTCCTCAGCCGTGGCGGGCGGAGGGCGGGCGATGGGAGCTGGCGTCTCAGCCCTCGGCCAAGGCCAGGGTTGGGCCAGGGAAGGCGTTGGCGACCTTCGTCCCCGCTCCCCCCACAGTGGACCCCAACAAGGAGCGGCGCGAGGCAGTAAAACTGAAAATTACCAAGTACCTGCGGCGGGCCGAGGAGATCTTCAACTGCCACCTGCAGCGGAGGCTGGGCGGCGGCCGCAGCCCTGACGCGGTGAGGGCGCCCTCCCAGAGAAGGCCTGAGCCGAGCCCGCCCTGCCCTGCGGGGCGGTAACAACGGGGAGAGGGGGCTGAGTCTGCTGTCCTGGGTCCCGCTCCTACGCCCTCACGTCGTCAGTTCCCGGACCCTGACTGAAGGCCTCTGACTGCCCTGTCAGGAACGGGCTGGCCATGAGCCGGGAGCACGTGTGTGCCTATGAATGGGTGCACACACGTGTGCCTGGGACCCAGGGCACGTGGCAGGTTCACCGTGTACACACACTTCCCAGCGTGTGCAGGCTTGCACACCTGCCCTACGTGTCCTGGGCTTGCAGTGTCTTGGAGGCCACCTTTCCCCAGAGCTGGCGGCAGTGTCCTAGGCATGTCCCGAGCCCACATTTCCTGCCCCTTCCCCAGGGAACGTTCTGCCCCCGTGGGTGGGCCTTTTGAGAGGGGGCTTCCGAAGCCCTCTGAACTTCCCGGGCCTTGGGGGGCTGGCTGGGGGCTGAGCGAAGAGGCAGCCGGCCCCCTGACCAGCCAAAGCCAACTCCCTCGCTTGGGCCTCATTTCTGAGGCCTCATTTCCTGAGGCTGCCTGTGGCTCTGTCTCCCTCCTCTGCAGGGGTTCAGCAGCCTCCGGCTCCGGCCCATCCGCACGCTGAGCTCTGCCCTGGAGCAGCTGAGGGGCTGCCGCGTGATCGGGGTCATCGACAAGGTCAGTGCCTGGGCACCCTTGCGTGGGAGAGAGGCGCGGTGTGGTGGAAGGGGGCTGCAGCGCTGGCTGCAGTTCTTCCGGGGGCGGTGGCCAGTCAGAGGAGGGCAGCCCCCTGGCCTCACCCCCGCCCAGCGTGCCTCAGTCAGGTCCTGGAGTGACAAACGTGGCACTGAGAGGAGACAGGCCGCTTCCCTCCCCATCCTCCACTCAGACACAGAAAACCCAAAGAGACCGTGGAGAAGCTGTGCTGCAGGGCACCCTGCCAGCTCCGCCTGCCCTGCCCACTCCCACTGCCGCAGGCCCCGCACTGCGCTCCCTGTGTGCCCCAGGGCTGAGCCCAGAAAGTCCACAAACCCGTCCTCCGGGGCAGGGAGATGGCCACAGGCAGCCCCACGCCGAGCCCCCCACCGCCCTGGCTGCCTCTCGGGGCTGTGGGCCGGGGCCTTGGGCCGCCAGGAGGACTGGGGTCCAGGCGGGCTTGGCCTCAGAAGTGGGCCGGAGGGAGGAGTGGGCTTTGGCTTTAGGAGCCCACACTGGTCCGGGGCAGCTGGGCTGGCTGTCCAGGACTGTGGCAGCTCTGTTCTTTCTTCTGGCACTGCACACTCATCCTGGCCCCGTACCCTTTCGCTTAACTCAGAGCAGACAGGAAGATGTATGATCCTTGGGCTGGGGATTTAACTCGGCGGCACAGCGCCTGCCTGGCAAGCGTGAGGTCGTGAGTTCGAATCCCGGTACCGGGGTGTGGAGGAGAAGATGTATGATTTTGGGGAGCGGGGGTCAGAGGGACGGACAGGTCCAATGAGAAACAACCCAGCGTCAGGTTTTCCTTTGTCCCCAACAAAGGGTCTCTGAGTAGTCCCCAAAGTCGTTCTTTCCCAGACTGGCCACGAGCTGGAGGTCATCTGGAGAGCTTCCGGGGAACACAGATGCGTGGACTCCACCCAGGCCTGTGGTGTCACACTTCCTAGTGTCGAACCCAGGAATCTAGTAGAATACCTGTGAAATGACTTTGGTGGGTCTGGGGGTCCAGAGAGAAAAGGAGACCAGCGTGTCGCCCCCATGTGAGAGGGTGGGGTGCTCCCCGGAGGGCAGTGCATAGCGTCAGGTCCGCCACTGCTGTGAGCTTTGGTTTCCTCTAAAGTGGGGTGGGGCTTCTCCCCCAAGGCGGGGTCCTGGGAGGAAAATGAAACAATTTGGGGGAAAGGCCTGGCCCATGCTCAGACGTTGAATGGGTGCCGCGTGGCTCAGTGTGACAAGAGTGGGCGCAGGTTCCCGGCCCGGGCTGTGCCCTGGCTGCTGCTCACCGGCCCCTGGCACAGGCCCGGGCGGGGGAAGGCCCACAGCTCCTGCCTGCCGCGCTGGGGAGGGGCGGACAGTGTTCTCTGAGAAACCCTGAGCACTCTTGTCAGAAGGAAGGGGCTTCTCTGCTGAGTGAGGTTGAGAAAGCGAGTTAAATTGCATTGCTGTTTTTTTTTAATTATAGGAGCTCTCAGAGCTGTTAGGGTCCAAATATATCCTGGGAACCTCTTTGAGGAAGGCTGTGTGGTACAGAATTCCCCAGACTTGTTTAAGCCCAGGACACACTTGCACCCCACACGTTGCAAACAGCCCTCGCTCCGAGGCTGTGCACGAGTGAAGGTGTACCCGCACATTCTGCCTCCAGGTTCCTGTCTCCTTTTTCCCTCTCAGGGACTCCTGTGGAATCCAGCTCCCTCCTAAGATCCCGTTTCCTTCTCGTGGGTCATGCCCACGCCAGAAGCAGAACTTTCCCCAAATTGGAAAATGTGCTAAGGCCACTGCGCCTGTTCTGTTCTTTTCTTTCTTTTTTCTGGCGCTGGGCATTGAATCCAGGGCCTTCACACTGACCTCCATCCCCAGCCCTTTGTATGTAATTTTTTATTTGAGATAAGGTCTTACTAAGTCACTAAGTTGCCCAGTCTGGGCTGGAACCTGTGATCCTCCTGCTTCAGCCTCCCTGAGTGCTAGGATTACAGTTATGTAACACTACCCCCAACCTACTGGGTCCACTCTCCAGCTCTACGCCAGGCAGAGCTGGGTCGCGGGCCAGTCCTGGCCAGTGGCTTCTCCTAGGCCCAGGAGGGAGAACAGGGATTGCTCAGGACAGTCTGTTCTCCAGCTGTTGGGCTTGGCTGGACTGGACGTTGAATCTCTAGGGACTGCAGAGGTTCCTCCAGGGGCAGGGGCAGCACGGAGCAGGAAGCTGAGTGGGGCAGAGACCTGATAGCAGACCAGATGCCCAGGAGCGTGTCCTTGGGGAGCCTGGGAGATGTCACCCTGTTTCTGCTGCGCCTCTTCCAGGAGCCAGGCTCTGAGTTGGGCAAGAGAAAGAAAAAGTCATCCAAGTCACTTCTTGTTTTTTGTTTTTTGGCTCAAACAGGGGTGCTTTTTTGGTTTTAATTGTTACCAACATTTTAAAATGTGCAAATTTTATATAAAAGTCCAGATTTCCGGCTTCTTTTGAAAAATCAGATTTGGAAATGCACGGTTTGCATTCCCATGTGGCAGCAGGGGTCTGAGGAGGGGCTGCCCGTTTCAGATAGGACTCAGCCTCCCGTTCTCAGCTGCCCCCTCCGGCTCCACCCACCCACCTTGTGGGCCTTTGAGTTTGAGAACCTGTTTGAAGCTTTTTGGACTTGTTTGCACTGGGAGAGTCCTCCTAGGGCTTACACAGTTTGGATGGCTTTAGACAAGGGATTTTATTGTGTTTCACCAAAGTTTTAAATGTCTCTGAGACCCAGTACTTAGTGGGATTCTTTAAAAAGAAAAGAAAAACGTCACTTTTTTTAAAAAGGTGGACACCAGGCGTGGTGGCACACGCTTGTAGTCCCAGCACTCGGGGCTGAAGTAAGATCACTGGGAGTTTGAGGTCAGCCTGGGTTACAAAGTGAGTTCAAGGCCAGCCTGAACTGCATAGTGAGACCCTGTCTCAAAAATACAATCAATCAATAATAAAAGGGGTGTACATTATAAAGTTCCCCTGACAGTTTGTGACAAAATGTCGTCACTTATCGAGCAGTAAGTTCTCAGAGCCACTGTCCATTATGCTGTGCTGTCAGACACACTTGTTACTAATCATGTAAGATTGTTTGCATTAATAATAATATAAATAGTATTCTATGGAAGCTGGGTGTGGCGGTGCACACCTGTGATCCCAGCACTCAGGAAGCTGAGACAGGAAGATCACTGTGAGTTGGAAGCCAGCCTGTGCTACACAGTGAGACGCTGTCTCCAGAAAAAAACCAAAGTCGTCTGTATCTCAGCTACACGAGCCACATCTCAAGGGCTCAGTAGCCACGCGAGGCTACGCTTGATCTTGAGAGGCGATGCCGCAGGACGCTAAGGGCCGTGCACAAATGCAGCTCTCTCTGTCACGGCAGAGAGTTCTCTTGGACAGTGCTGCATTTTAATAATTGTCCTGCAGTGACGCTGAGGTTCATGGAGGCCAAGTACGAGGTAGTGTTCGGTCCTCCAAGGCGCTAAGCAAAGGATTTGTTTGTTTGGTTGCACTAACGGGAAAATGCCCCTCCGCTGCCCTTTTGAGACAGAATGAAGAGAAAGGAGTTTAAAACAAAAATAAAGAAAAGAGAACAAAACAAAAACCTTACCGCCTTACCTAACTCCAGGATAATCACTTCTTTTAATTTTTTTATCTAATTCCTCCCAGGTAAATAGTTAGGTTTTAGTGTATTTTTAAAACAGAATTCTTCGGATGTAGGGGTCAAGTTGTATTTCTGCCTTTGCAACCTTCCACTGCTGGTTTTGGGGCTGTAAATCAGAGCGGTTTGCTCAGGACAAGGTGGGGAATCCCCCTTGGCGAGAGACAGTGGGGGATTATCCGGGGTGTTAGGGCTTGTGGGAAACTCTGCTCTCTGAAATGTCCGCAGTTTTCTGCCTTTCCCTTTCAAACATTGCGCAAGTGTGGTCAAGGGGCCAAGGCCAGGCGGAGCTCTCGCTGGCTGGCGGAGGGGAGCCCTCTGGTGGTTGAAGGAGACGCCTGCCTTGTGGGGCAGGTGCTCATCTAGTCCGTGACTGCTTCCTTTTATTGGTGATAGGGAGACAGGCGCAGAGGGAAGGCACTTAGCAGGGTCACCTGGTTGTGCCCTAGTTGCAGTGAAGTGGTCCAGCCTCGGGGACCAGCCTCACTGCCCCCTTGTTAGCAGGGGGGTCGTAAGTAGGCAGTATCACCCCTCGGAACCTCAGCCTCGTCCTCAATAAAGTGGATCTCTAGTAACGGAGGGTTACGGGGGTAAGATAACCTATGGAAACTGCGTAGCACAGAGTAAGCACCTTGTAGCCAGCGTTGGTCCCTTCTGCAGTGACGCTGGCGATACCTGCTGTGCGTGATGTGCCATCTGCTTATCCGCCGCTCCCCCACACGCTCTGACCCTCTGAAGGAGGAACTGCTGTGACCCCTTCTTGCAGTGAAGAGGACCAGGGTTCCAAGCGTGACTGGCAAAGCTTGCTGTCCTCACCACCTCTGCTCACACAGCGCCGTCCCCCTTGTGGCCTCCAGACAGTAACGGCGGCGGGGTGGGCATTCATAACTTCCCTTTGGTGGATGAGAAAATCAGTTCACTCACCCGAGCTTTGAACCCAGTGACCTTTTCTCTCCCCTAATCCTGGACTGCAGCCTTCACCACTGGCCGGCAGCCTGGCCGCAGGACCTGGCTCCCACTCCCCAGCAGGCAGGGCAGGACAGGCCTGGGGCCCAGAAAACACCGGTTGCTGTCTTGCTGCCACACGCCCTGCATCTGGGCTGAACCCTCCGCCTTCCCCCCGATACACCCACGTGCCTCCCTCACCCCACCTACGGCGGGGCCCAGCCCTGCCTCCCCGTGTGAGTCAAGGACCCGACTCCAAGCCAAGCCCTGGACAAGCAACAGGCAGATCAGTGACTGTAACCAAAACCAGCACGAGAAGGAGATGGCTGGCTGCTCCCTGAAGATGCCCTCTAGGTCGCATTTTTGCCGTGTTGCCCAGGCTAGCCTCGCACTCGTAGGCTCAAGTGATCTTTCTGCCTCAGCTCTTGTGTGGCTGGCACACAACCACCGCTGGAGGAAGCAGTGCTGGGCTGAGACCCGCAGGCCGAGCAGGGCAGGGTGGACATGGGCTTGGGGCAGCGCTGTCCCGTGCCGCCGAAGTCTGGCCTCCTGTCCTAGCCCAGGAGCGACTCGGCCTAGTGGGAGAGCCAGGCAGCGAGCATGCCTTGACCCCCACCTTCTGGACTTGCTTTGGCAGGTGCAGCTGGTCCAAGACCCGGCCACTGGAGGGACCTTCGTGGTGAAGGCAGGTGCCGCCCCGCCCCTGCCACACTACAGACCCCTGGGATGTTCGCAAGGGAGCCCCTTCCCCAGAATGTGCACCTGGAACCCCCCTGGCCTCCAAATCCAAAAGCTGCTTGTTCTGACTCTGAGCCCCTGCCTGCAGGACAGACAGATACACAGGCAAACTCCTCGGCCGGGAGAGTGGAGCACATGGGGGCCAAGGGGGAGGTGAGGGTCAGGGCCAGGCCCGGAGTTGGCGGGAGCATTGCTCCCCCAGTGCCTCCCACCGCTCATCCGGCTGCACCTGAAGCCCGGGCTAGGATTTCCCCTAGCAGCAGTAGCCTCTGGCCTGGCTGCAGCTGATCTGCGTGGCCTGCCCCGCCCAGAGTCTGCCCAGGTGTCAGGTGGCGAGCCGGGAGCGGCTGACCGTGATCCCGCATGGGGTCCCCTACATGACAAAGCTGCTGCGGTACTTCGTGAGTGAGGACTCCATCTTCTTGCACCTGGAGCACGTGCAAGGTGAGGGAGCCTGAGAGACCTCTGTCAGCTCCTCAGGCCTTCAGGGTATGGGCCTTACCCACCCCTTCAAGCGCAGAGCCCCAAGGAGGGGGTGGCTTGCACCAGATGTGCAGCACAGACTGGAGGCTGGCAGCAGGGGCAGGCCGCCACGGGCCTCGGTGTGGTGCCAAGGGAGCGGGCGAGGGTGTCTACAGCTGTGCAGGCAGGAGGGCGTTTGTGCAGCTGCCTCCTGCGCCGTTTCCTCGGGTCTTGCCTCTTTTCCTTCTGGCTTGTGCTAATCTTCAAAGTGGCTACACCACAGAGAGCTGGTCCCCACAGCTGAGAGGACCAGACATGGCCCTCGTAGCAGTTACAGTCACAGGGAGTTTTTAGATGAGGTACACCCTGGGGTTATGATGTAGTCATTGTAGGATCCCCGCCTGCCCTTTACGTTTGGTTATGCCCTCCTTCCTAAAGAGAAGAAAATACAAATTTTGAGTGCTGGCGAGCCCACCTCCCAAGTCAAGGCCACTAGCTGTAGACACCTCACCTCTCCCTGGAGGCTCAGCCGCTGTGGGGTGCTGCTGCGAGGCCTCTAGCTGGGCTGAGCGGAGGGAGGTGGGTGTCCAGGTGGAAGGGAAAGAGGCGGCCGGGGTGAGGACGCTGAGCAGGGCAGGACCCGGAGGCCAAGGGCCGTGCCTGGGGTGGGGTGGGGTGGGGTGGGGCTGGCCCGGCCCTGGGGCCCACACTCCTTTCCTTCCCGTGCTTGCTCTGTCTGCCCGGCCCAGGAGGCACTCTCTGGTCCCACCTGCTGTCCCAGGCACAGCCCCAGCATTCTGGCCTCCGGCCTGGCTCCACTCAGAAGATGGGGGCCCCACTCAATGCCTGCCTCAGTCTCCTGACCCCAGCACGGCTCCCCCGGGGCCACACCACCGCGCAGGACAGAACCCCTCTGGAGCAGCCTTGGACTTCTCAGAGCCTTCCCTCAGCCGCCCCAGCCGGGGAGGCGCTGCCCCTCCGGGCCCCAGGAGAGCCTGAGCGTGAATCCGTAGCCAGAGCCAGCCCTTCCTGCTCCTTGGACCTCACGGAAGCCCCAGGGGGCCCCTTTCACCTGCAAGCCCGGCGGGCTGGCCAGCATGAAGACCCTGGGGGCCCCCGGGGGCCGCCGTGGGTCCGTGAGGGGGCTGGCCGGGTGCTGCGGGGCTGCGGCCGAGGCAGAGGTCAGAGCCGCCCAGCAGCGGACAGGCCCGGCCAGGCGTGCGGCCGCGCGGCCTGGAGTGTGGCGGAGGAGCAGGCGGCGCGGTGGGCGGCGGAGATGCTGGTGGCGCTGGAGGCGCTGCATGAGCAGGGGCTGCTGTGCCGGGACCTCAACCCCCGGAACCTGCTCCTGGACCGGGCAGGTAGGACCCTGGCCACGCTGCCCCTGCCGGGAAGCCCGAGTCAAGGGACCCGAGACTACCCACTGCTCCCCCGCCTGCACTGACCTTCCACGCAGGACGCTGCCTGCGTCTGGGTTCCCTAGTCCCCGTGTGTCTAAGGCACAGCCCCCAGGAATACCCGTGGTCTTCGGGTCCCCAGGGCCTTGTCCTCAGGGAGATTCTGCCAGCACAGCTCTTGGCTCCTGCCCTGGTCACCGTCAGGGCAGCCCTGGCACTGCCTGCCCCACGCCAGCGGCTCGTTGATGCTCTCCTCAACCTTTGTCCCCCTCACCCGCCCCTCACACTGGACGAGAAGGTCACCTCCGGCTCACCTACTTCGGCCAGTGGTCAGAAGTGGAGCCTCAGAGCTGCAGGGAGGCGGTGGACCGCCTCTACAGCGCCCCAGGCAAGAAGCGGCCCCTGGATCTTGGGTGCCTTGTGTGGGCTGAGCCTGGGGGCCGAGCGTGACAGGGTGGGAGGTGTCTGAGGACAGCGGAGAGGGCTGAGTGAGGCAGGGGCGTGTGTTTCACCTGCAGAGGTGGGTGGCCTTGCTGAGCTGACCGAAGCCTGTGACTGGTGGAGCTTTGGCGCGATACTGTATGAGCTGCTGACGGGAGTGGTGAGTAGCTGGGCGGAGTGCAGGTGGCAGGGCTCAGTCCACTGAGGATCTGGGCGGAAGCTGCCTGGTTCTTTAAGACCTGGTCCCGGGGTGGGTGCCCCGCCAGCCCCCAAGCCGCAGGCGCAGACAGAGACGTGGTCGCCACCAGCCGCAGGCACACGCAGCGCCCCCGCCACACCGGGGGTGGCAGCTGATGAGACTCCGCTTTTGGAAAGCAAGCTGAGACAGCTGGGAAGGGTTTCTAGACCAGCCGGCCTGGTTGAGACGGTGGGTCCCACACAGCCCTTGCTCCTTGGAAGCCGCAGGTCACCCCAACCTCTGCGCCCCACTGCTCACTCTTCCCACCCTCAGGGGCTGTGCCCCCAGGTCTTAGCTGGAGGATGGGAGAGCTGCCCTGTCCAGAGCGCCGGTTGCCCCTGCACACCTTCCTGCCCGAGGGGCAGCTCTGACCTCTGTCTTTGCATGGATGAGCTCAGCAGTGCATCTGGGGCCAGCGAGGCTGGGCAGCAAGGGATGGGCCACATTGCATTTGAGCAGGAAACAGTGCGTGAGTTGTGGCCTGATGTCCAGGTGTGGCCAGTCCCTCCTTGTCCCTGCTTTCGTCCCATTCCCCAGGGCCCTGCACGGCTTTCCCAGTCTCCCACACCTCTGTTGCCCAGGGCTCCTGGCCTACTTGCAGCTCCAGACAGGCCCTCTGCTCTCCCAGGCTCACGTTGGGGTCTGGAATGGCCTCGCTCTTCTGTTGCTATACCCCGATGGCACGAGGGCAGCACGCCTGGCTTGCTGTCAGATGAGTAGTAGCCCATGGAGCCTTTTCTGTGAGGAGACATTTCAGGGCTCACCCTGTGCCTGCCCTGACGGAAAGCCAAGGTCCATGCGTCTAACAAGTGTGCAGCCAGAGGGCCCCTGACCGTGGTTCAAATCTGAACTCAGCACAAGCCCCTTTTTCTTGGAGGCTGCTTGTCTTTGCTGCATGTCAGGGGTCTAGCAAGCAGCTACGGACATCATCATGCCTGTGGGATATGACCCACACGTGGGGAAACGCTCCTGGCTACACCTGGATGCAGACCTGCCCGGGGTTGCCTCCTCAGAGGCCCTGCTTGTGTCCTCGCAGGCACTGTCCCAGAGCCACCCCTCAGGATTCCAGGCCCACACCCATCTCCAGCTGCCAGAGGGGCTCAGTCGCCCAGCAGCCTCCCTGCTGACTGAGGTGAGCTACAGCCTGGGCTAGAGTGACTTCTTGGCCTGTGGGGAGGGGTGGGGGGTACAGAATCCCCACAACCATGTGTGAAGGGCACTAGGGTTTCCATAGATCGGAACCCAGCCACCACCACCGTCCCCCCACAAACGGGGCTGTGGGCTGTGTCGCCGAGAATGAGCCCCAGGGGCCACGGTGAAAGGAGCCCCTGGAGATGGGAGCCCTGCTGCCAGTGGGGGTGAAGGCCTGTGCGGCGCTGACCCGCCTGTCCCTGCAGCTGCTGCAGTTTGATCCCGTGAGGCGCCTGGGGTCCAGAGGAGGTGGCGTAGGCAAACTCAAGTCCCATCCCTTCTTCAGCGCTATCCAGTGGAGCAGACTGGTAGGGTAAGAGCGGCACAGTGGGCAAGAAAACTGCTGGCGTGGCCCGGATCTCCACCGTCTGCGTGTTACCCAGGGCTGGTCCCTCAGCCCCGTGAGCTTCAGGCCAAGGACGTAGGGCCTTTCCTGCTCAGCTCCGTTTGGGCCTCAGAAGCAGTCATTGCCTCTGCTCCAAAAGCTACGAGGAGGGGGCAGCAAGGCTCACCCTTTCCACCCATGTCAGCGGACTCCTGTTGAGCGCATACCGAGTACCTTCACACAGACCCGCCGCGCTCGAGGGTGCCGCTTCGTCGCAGGCTCCGGACCGACCGCCTGCTGAGCCTACCTCAAGCTCTTGTGACTCACTGCCACCTGGGTCATCTCGGGAGCGGCGTCCCAGGAGACTGAGCCACGGGCACAGCGGCCCAAATTAGGGCTGCCCTGACTGTCTTCGTCACGAGAGCGGGCGGCTCCCACCAGAGGCTGCCCTCGGGACGGGAGGCAGGAAGCAGGCACTGGCGGTGGAGTGGGGCGGGTGGGGGCAGGATGGGGCACCCTCCACTCCTGCCCAGGCCCCCTAGCCGTGGTGTCAGGCTTTGGAGAGCAAAGCGGGGTGGAGACACAGCTCTGCCATGAGAGCAGGTCTGAGGAGGGTGAGTGCGCCCTCCCCGGCCGCCCGTGTCGGGGAGCCTGGCCTGGGCCCGCGGGCTGGAGAAGCGAGGGCAGGTCACGCCCATCAAGAGTTCCCTCTCAGGAATTGTTCTCTTCACCTGTCTGCGTTTTGGTCATGAGGTTCTACTCTATTCACGGCCCACTGTGAGTGACTTTACCCTCTTCTAGAATGAGAACCACACAACACGTGATTACTCTTGGTCAGAAGCAAGATGCTTCTGGTCTCTAAAGAACTGGAGTTGAGTACCTCAAAAACAACTCTTCCAGATTTGAGGCTGCTCAGGACTTACCACCTGTCACTGGGCTGTGGCAGCAAGACAAACTTCAGGACACCTCTGCCCCTAGCTCCTTCCCTCCTGCCTCAGCCTCCCGAGTGCAGGAGTTACAGGCATGCACCACCACGCCCTCATTCCCACCAGTCTTAACCACTGCCACGTGGAACGTCCGCCACAGGTTCAACTCTTGAGCAACTCAGACTCCCTGGGGTGGGGCGGAGTACGGACATGACAACGGATGGACACACCAACACGGCCTGTAGCCAGCTCCCTCTCTTCTACATCTTGTCTGTCCCTCGGGCCTGCCCATCCCCCAATAAAACCCGCTCTTCCTGTGATGGCTTTGCATTATTCATGCAGTGAGCTACCAGCCGGGTAGGCGCAGTCAGAGCTCCCTTAGATGTGTTGAAGAGTGAACCTGGGCCCTGCTAAGAAGCAACCTGTGCCCCTGCAGAGCAGCCTCAGGGGAAGTGGGGTGTTTTGGGTACAGGGCTCTATGGGAAATAAGATGGAGGAGCAAGGCATGGTGGCATACACCCGTGATACCTGCATTTGGGAGGCTGAGGCAGAATTGCTGACTTTGAGGTCAGCCTCAATTACAGAGCAAGACCTGGTCTCCAAAACAAAACAGGAAGAATCCGGATGCCTAGATGGAACATGGGCCTCATCTTCACAGTGACTCCTTGGAAGATGGTAGCTCCTGAGAAAACGGGGCCTCTAGCAGCCTACCTGGTGCCTGCTCAGAGCTGGCTTCCAACCTGTTCCTCCTATTACACTCCCAATTCTGGTCAGACTACTGCCAGCCACTGCTTCATGAAGTGCAAGACACTAGTGGATGTCATCCAGCCAAGACATGCTGCACATCTGGCTCTTTCTTGTGTGTGGCACCAGGAATTGAACTCAGGACCTTGCGCTTACTAGGCATGCACTGTGCCGCTGAGCTATATACCCCTGGCCCAGGGCCTTCAGTTTAGAATACTGTTGGCCCAGCCCTGACAGGATTAGGTTGACCTTCCAAGAAAATGAAGCTACTTCAGTTTACAACTGAAGCTTTGACACCAAGACCTACACCTGACAGTCAATTCTAAAGTTCTCTCGATGAGCCCAGTTCTTTTCCTTCCTTTTTACAAGCTGAAGTTCTCCCTTCATGATGTTGTCCTCTGTGGACGATGGCCTCACTTTAAGCCAATCAGGAGACAGGGACTCTGTGCAAGAACAGGGTGCATTTGAAGCGGGGCTGCTCCCACACCTGTCGCCTGCATCAGTCTAGAAGAGCTACCAGCACCGTCCACTGACCCTCACAGACCCTGCTCCGAGGAGGGGGCCTTCCCTCGCTTATTCCTACTGATCCGGAGCGCTGTTAGTGGTGATCAAACCCAAGTGAAACTTTGATGTGTCCCACCTCCCCAATCCATCCCAGTAGTCCCAGCCCCCACAAAAGCGTGGGTACCTCCTGGCATTTTGAGGGGACCTAGCAAAACCACAGTTTTCCCTCAAGAGTCTGTCCTGCCAGGCTCACGGGGCTCCGTCGGGAGCCGCGCCATGGAGAAAAGCGTGCTTTCTCAGCTGGCTAAGAGGGCTCCCTGCGCAGTCCAATTAGCACGGTGTGACACCCGTCGAAGGCGCAGGACCCCACAGGGAGCCAGCAGGACAGGATGCGGCTTTCAGAGCTAGTGACACTTGCTCAGCGCTGGCGGGCACTTGTACCACACCTCAGCCATCAACAGCAGCACAGATGCAGCGACCGCGTTTGAGAATATCTGCCCTTTAATTTTCATTCAAAATCAGTTTCCTTAAATATTTTAGTTACAAGCTCTGCACGGTGAAGACAGAGTAGCAGACGCTGCAGGCACTCAGTACTGCCCCTCCCTCCCCTCCCCCAGCCTGGCTGCTCAGCTCTAGATTAAAAAGGGCACTGCACCAGTGGCTCCGCGTCACGCGCCAGCGGTCTCCGGCCTGGACGCAGTGGACACAACACCATGAAGCCCAGCGGCTTTCATCACAAGATACTTGTATTTAGCCACGCTCTAAGGAATTCGACGACTGCCCAGACCCAAAATGCAGCACCTGAGATGACATCAGCCACCTTACCCCCAGGTTACCGCCACCTTGGGGCTGGGCCCCTCCACATCCCACCCTCCCCTAGACCTGTGTCTCGCATGGAAGAGCCAAGGCCCCACCGCCTCGTGGGCCACAGCATGGGGACAGAACAGCATCTGCGTCCCGGCAACCTGTGCCGCTCAGAGACTGCCCCCCTCCCGGGCGCTCAGCATCACTGTGACCAGGCTCGGTCCCGCTGCCACAGCCACTAACACCTGCTCTGAACAGTGACAGTGTACGAGGACGGCTCCTAGCAGCCTGGGAAGGGCTGGCAGGACCACAGCTCTGTAGGAGTAGCTGAAATGAGTTTTCCGGTGTGAGCTACTGATGCGTGTGTGAGGGCAGGCCTGGGTCTGCTCCCACCTGCGGTTACTGTGACTTCACAGGGACCCTGCCCTCCCCCGCCATCAGCACCCCCACCCCAGCTCCCCCGGCCTGTGCTTCCTGGAAGAGGTAGAAGAAGCATCTTGAAATCACTGACAACTGAAGATGACGGTGCCAGTTGAGAAGCAAAGCAGCACCTCTTTGCCTGTGTTCAACACTCCAGACAGGTGCTGCGCTGAGCTTGGGAGGAACGGCACCCTCCCGGCATCCTGGAGAACACCTTCCGAAGAAGGACGCTTGGTCACATGGTCCCCAGTGGTTTCCCTATGGTACAGTGGCCGCAGGAGAAGCAAAATCATCTTTGTGGAGGGCTAATGAGAAAAGGCAGGGGTGTTAACGCACATCCACTGACGCACTCCCGTCAGCCTAAGCATGTAAGGTATGTGAAGGCAAGAGAAGGGCATGAGACAGCCTGCGGGGACAGTGAGAGACCTGTGACTGCTGGTTACATAGTGCCCTGGCTTCCTTGCCTGAGGCCAGGAGCATGTGCCTGCCTGTCACCAGGCTAACGTGGGACCCATGGGGGACAGGGAGAAGTCTGGTTTTCAGTTCCTGCATGATCAATTTGTAGGGCGTGCGGTCTCCTCCTAAAGGTCCAGGAGGAGGACTCTGGGATCCTCTACTGCTGCCTTGATTTTTCGGAGGAAAGTCACAGCCTCTCTGCCATCAATCAGCCGGTGATCATAAGTCAGTGCCACGTACATCATAGGCCGCACCTCCACCTGCAGAGAGGAGAGGTTAAGAGTCCGCCTCCAGCAGGGCAGGGAAAGCCTGCAGAGAGGGCGATGAGAATGCACAACCCACTGGAAAGCTCCTGCTTCCAAGCCTCTCCTACCGATGTTACTTACGGATACTCAGGACAATTTCAGAGAGGAACCTTTACCCTACGCAGAAAAGAAGTCTAAACAAGAAACAACTTTGCCCTCCAACTCATCTGTAATCCACAGAAAAGGTCTTCTCTTCAATTACAGCTGCCTGCAGTAGGTGGCTTTCTAGTTACAAGTTACTTAATTACTTTTGCAGAGCTGAGAATCAAACTCAGTCTCCTGCATGCTAGACCATCACTCTACTCTGGAGGCACACTTCCAACCTCAAAGAAATCAATTTGTAGATCCCCCAGATTCTGACATTGTGGGGCTGGGGATTTAGCTCAGTGGCACAGCGCCTACCTGGCAAGCGCAAGGTTGTTGAGTTCAATTCCCAGTAGCAGAAAACAAACAAACAAACAAAAAAAGATTCTGACATTGTACGCAAAGCTGGGTGTGTGGCCACTTCCAAGGAACAAGGTCTGAGGTTTCTGGGTTCACAGAGAAGTTAATGATCAAAAGGCTTCCAAACACATGTCTCAGAAAGCTTTTTTCCTACATTTTTTTTTTCCTGGACAGAGCCTTGCAATGTAGTTCAGGCTGGCCTTGAACTCACTATGTAGCCCAGGCTGGCCTTGAACTTGCAGTGATCCTCCTGCCTCAGCCTCCTGAGTAGACATCACAAGCATGCACCACTATGCCTGGCCACCAACTTATCTTCAAAGACCTAGCTCAAGCCCCTTTGAACTCATTCCTGGAATTGCCAGAAAACTTCTAAGCCTGAGCAGACAACTGTGCAGCTCATCAGCTGCCATGCTTTCTTGTCCTGTGCTCCCAGAACAAGGAGCACGTTTCTAACTCCGTCCCACAGTCCCTAGCTAGCAATGAAGCACGGTGACTAACTAATCCAGATGAAGGTGTGAGCTCCTTCAGCTCCACGGTCCTCAAACTTTGAAGGCACATCAGAACTGTCTGCATGTCTGCTTCTGTAGCTTCGGAAAGAATCCAAGAATCTGCATCTCTAACAAGTTTCCAGATGATGCTGAGCCAGAGAGAACAATTTTAGAATCAGCATCTAAGGTATTAATTAGAAACTAAGAGATGTAACTTAGGCTTGCAGTTATAGTGACTGCTGTATAATAAGCATTTAGATTCCTTCTTAGCATCAGATAGCTAGCAGGACCTTGGAAATGAGAGTTCCTACCTTGCCTCCCACGACCACTGGCCTGTCAACAATGGCATGCATGCCGAGGATGGCAGACTGAGGAGGGTTGATGATGGGCGTTCCGAAGAGTGAGCCAAACACGCCTCCATTGCTAATAGTGAAAGTACCACCGTCCATATCTTCAATGGCAAGCTCGTTCTTTCGGGCCTAAAAACAGAAATCTCAGAATTGAAACATGAGGCCAACCCAAGTTCTTTCACCCAAAGAAAGTCAGCCCAGAAACTGTATCTGAGGTATCAGTGAAAGCTCCAGCTTCCACGTGACAGTGGTTCAGCTGAGGAGGCTGACTTGTGCTCCACTGGACAAGAGGCAGGAGTCCAGCCCACCTTTCTTCCCCAGCAAGGTTCCCCTGAGAAGGTTCCAGGCCCCTGAGGCAGGCTACGCTGGGTTCTGTACTTGGCTCTTATGGGCTACCGCCTTTCCTGGCAGCTAGAAACTTCTTCAGAAACCAGTGAGACACAGCTCCTTGGCACACCCAGCTGGTGAGCACAGCCTTCTACGGGCTTTCTTTTGCCCAACAGCTCACACACAACCTTCTTCCTACTTTACCTTCTCTCCCAGTTCACCGATGGTTCGTTCAATATCTGCGTAATTCATAGTTTCCACATTCCTGATGACGGGAACCACCAGACCCTGAAGAGAGTGCAAAGCTGTCTCAGTTGCAAATTAATGGTATCCTTTATAGTTAAACTTCTTGATTCACACTAATGGTCTCCCCTACTCAGAATGCCTTTTAGTACTCACTGCAATTAGAAGTCTAAGGTATTTAGGCTTGACATTAAGATAAATAAGAATGTATGGTTAAAGAAAAAAATAACTATTAGAAACTACCTCTTAAAAATACAGAATTACAGAAATGATCTCTCCCATATGATCTGCTTCTTCACAGAGTTACGCTGAGGACTCAGACCAGCACTTCCGCCTCCTGCCCTGACGTACCCGTGGAGTGGCCACTGCAACACTGATGTCAATGTAGTCCCGATACACCACCTCTTTGGTTGCATCATCAATCACTATGAGGGAAAACACATGTCACATATGCTGCCCCAGGCTACGGTTAATGAGCTAATATTTGCATTAACAGTAAGAATCTGCAGTGCTGGATACAGTATGGGCTGGCCAACAGCCACGAAAAGGACTCCATTACTGGGCCGGGGGTGTAGCTCAGGGGCGCAACTGCCTGCCTGGCAAGCGCAAGGTCCTGAGTTTGATTTCCAGTACCAAAAAAAAAAAAAAAAGAAAATGACTACATTACAAATGGCAGCTGGCACCGTACTTACTCCCACCCCAACCAACAAGACCATCTCCAAGTCCCCTGCTGAGCCCGTGTGTGGCAGCAGCATCCTTCTGGGGCAGTCCTCAGAGGGCTCAGCACAGAGGCTCCCACGGGCGTGAGTGCACTGCGTTCGGCCGGCCAGCTAGCGCTACTCGTGCGCTCCCGCAGCAGAGAGCACCCGCTGTCAGTGAGTGCTCCAGAAGGGCAAATCGGCAAAGGAGACAGGGTGTGCAGATGCTATCCGTCTGCTTCCCGCTCTCAACAAGTGGAAGAGGGAGGCTCTCACTAGGAAATTCAGGAGGAACCTGGGCAATCCAACTTCTAACTACGTCAGTGTGAGACAGCAAGCCAGCAGCTAAACATTTATATCTAGCATTCAGGAGAAAATAAAGGCTTGAGACTTTCCCACAGAAAAAGTCTATGTTTAGTATTAGGTAAGGCACCAAGGAAAGCATGTAAAATGAACAGAAGCCTGAAGCTAAGAGAACTCTGACAGATAGCCACAAGTGTGTCAGGCAGAAAAAAGGGGGCCGAGGGAAGAGACAGAGAAAGCCAGTCAGGAAGACATGAGAAGAATCTGACAAACAAAAAGAACACACCGGGCAAAGCAGAAAGCCCTTCTACCTATCTGGAGCACAGTGCTCTAAGGGGAGGACTACGGCCCCTACTTCTAGATCTCTCTTGCTGAGGACAGCAGAAGTGTCACCGACCCCCCTCCAACCTTCCAGGGAACAGAGAAGTAGCTCAACACAGAAAAAACCGCTTGTCAGGGCAGCATGTCAATGATGTGGGTGACTAAAAAGGAAGGAACTAGCGCCAAGTCTACAACAGAGTCCAAGCCCAAGGCTTCCCAAAGAGGCTCACCTCAAAGAGGTCAAAGGTCAACCTGCAGCCTACGTCAAGTGTGGGAATCAGGCCCCAAGATAATAGGGCCCATACGGTGGGTGGGCTGGGGGCTCCGGGGACAGCTAGACCACAGGCTTCCATTCCAACACGAGGCCGCCTGGAGAACAGGCAGCCAAAGCGGCTGCTCTGCCCACCTGCTAGGGAGACAGTAGGCAGCGTGGCATTTCGGGTGGGAAGCCAGTGAGCCCCCGGGGAGACTCACCCACAGTCAGGGAATGAGAAGGCCCGGGGTGCGGACCGCACAGCGCCGGCGCAGTGTGCTCACACGCCACCCCCGACCCCGCAGCTCGGGCCGGGAGACTCACCCGCATTCACAACGGGCTGCTCCTGCAGGGCGGAGGCACAGGCCCTCACAAACGCACACATGAAGCCCAGTTTGAGGCCATGTCTCTTTAGGAAAGCGTCTCTGTGGCGAGCCCTCATCTCCTGGATGTTACTGTAAAAATATGTTACAGAGAGGGTGATCACAACAGCAGCTTTGATTCTTCCCTTCTTTGTGAGTTTCTACCCATACACACAACTGGGTGAGCTCGCCCCTATCCCGGACCATCAACCTGAGCTCAAGCACTGCACCGTCTCCCTAAAGGTCAACTCAGTAACCTTGTGCTTTCACAAAAACCAAATATAGAAGAATCAGGGCCAAGTCGGGTGCACGCCTGCAATCTCACTATTCTGGAAGGCTGAAGCAGGAGGACTACAAATCTGAGACCAGCCTGGGCAACTAAGCAACTTAGCATGACCTTGTCTGAAAAAAAATTTTAAAAGGGGAAGAGATGTAACTCCATCAATCCCCAGTACATTAAAAAAAAAAAAAAAAAAAATCAGGGCCAAGATCTCTTTAGGGTAGGTTGTGAAGGCTTTTTCATGTTCTACAAATCATAGATTTCAACGGTAAAGAAAATGAAGGAGTGATCACAACAGCACACTAGCATCCTTGCTCTGGATGAGGAAGTATTTCAGCCTACATTAAAACCACAAGCTATCCATCTTTGGGGGAAAAATATGTTTTAAACCAAGTCTACAAAACAAGCAATTCTAGCCGGGCATGGGGCACATGCCTGTAATCCCAGCACTTGGGAAGCTAAGGCAGGAGGATTGCTGCGAGTTCGAGACCAGCCTGGGCTACAAAGTGAACTCAAGGCCAGCCTTAACTGCATAGTAAGACCCTGCCTCAAAAAGACAAAAAAAAAAAGCAATACCTATTTGTCAGAAAAATGTTTTTTTTGTTTTTTTTTGGGGGGGGTGGTCTTTTTGAGACAGGGACTCGCTATGAAGTTTAGAGTGGCCTTGAGCTTACTTGGCAGCCCAGGCTAGTATCAAACTTGCAACGATCCTCCTGCCTCAGCCTCCCAAGTGCTGGGATTATAGGCATGTGCCACCACGCCCAGGTGTCAGAATTATTTTTTTAAAAACACTAAATCTGGGGCTAGGGATATGGCTCAGTGGTAGAGCACTTGTTTGTCCAGCATGCACAATCCCCAGCACCACCGAAAAAAAAAATCCCCACCAAACCTGATTATGTTTTCTTTGCAACACTCTTCCTTTTTAATTAGGGAAAAATTAAAACCATCCACAGGTGTGTGGGCTCTCCACGTGAGCCAAAGCATTCATGGCTGTACATGAGAGGGCAAACTCCATTTTTTTTCCAGCAGATTCTCTCTTTGTCTCCTCAGAGTTAGCAACTGTATCTGTTTGTTCCTTTAAAACAGGCACTGGGCCACTACATTTGAAAGTCAGGGCTGGGTACCAAGACACAGAGACAATGAAGGTGCAGTGCCTGTCCTTAAGCTTGGTTTACTAGGTGTGGTTTCCTTGGTATTTAGAAAAGTGGTCCCATGTGAGGGAGGCCTGCCCGCTTCAGAGTCAGCAGCAAGGCCTCAGTGCTGAGAACCCTTTCTAACAAGAACGGTTTCTGGACTGTCACACACACTGTACAGCTAGTGTGAAATGGCTTTTCCATCATTTTGCTGCAGAAATTTCCGTATTATCGGAATAGCATTTCAAGACCAAAATCAAATTTAACTCTATCTCACGCCTAAATGTTCAGTTCTCCTTTTTCCCCTATAATGGCTTAATTCAACATTAGCACGAAAGATAAGAAGCAGTACAACTTTAACTGTCCCCTTCAGACCTTTTGTTTTTAAAAAAGGAACATTTCCGAGGGGGACTGATTGGGTTTGAAATGTTTGTTTTCCTGAGTCTAACCTTATTTAGTGCTAGGATTACCACTCTAAAGACATTACTAGCTCCCAAGACAGAAGGGCTGCAGAAGAGGTAAAGAGAAGGGGTAAATAGCTTTGCTCTCAAGCGGCCTGAATGCCGCTGTCTGGTCATTAAGGAGTTTCTATTTCAGAGCTCAGCCCTTGGAGGCAGAACTGGGACAACAGGGGAAAGGCAAACATCTCAGCAGGGGCCCTTAGAGGTTAGCTGATCCACACAAGACCCGAAGGGCACTCGAGCTAAACCAGATTACCGCTGCAGCGAGAGGCCGGGCCATTGTCAGGTGACACCTCCATCAGCTGCTGAAAGGAGATATGGCCATACTCACCTTCCGATTAAGACTTGAGCCAACTGCATCCTTCAGGGCCACAAATATTTACATGTTTCATCTTAAGAAACTGGATAGAATTTCAAAGTCCAATTCAATTTGGCCCTAATGCACTGAGACACAAGCTGTAGCCTTTGTGATTCATCAGGCATGCTCCTTCCCTACACACTATGGGCAAAAGAGCTCTGGCTGGGATGACATCCAGGCTCTCGAGAAATCTTCCCAACAGAACTGGATCTACTGAAATCAGGACAACTGTCAACATCTGCCCAACCTGGACAATAAGCCACAACCCCTTCCAAAGGGAAAAAATTTTCTGATGGAAGGTGAAAAAGCAGGGCTGGAAATACGGCTCAGTGGGAGCTTAGCATATATAGGACCCTGGATTCAATTTCTAGCGCCTCAAAAAAAAAAAAAAGGTTAAAAAAAAAAAGACAAGCAGACTTAATACTTCAGAAAAAAGGAGGCCAAGAGATGACCTGAAGAGTACGATTCTCCTCCTGACTGAATACAAAGTCTCATCCTGGCGCAAGGATTCATCACCTTGGGCAGCTTCTTACACTTTCACCTACATCGTGGTTCAGACTGTTCATACGGTCTGGAATGACCTTTTGCTGTATTGCTATAAAATGCTAGTCACATTATCTTGAGGTACCAAGACTGAACCTAGGGCTTTGCACACGCCAGGCAAGTGCTCTGCCACTGAACTACATCCCCAACCCTTTCTGAGACTGGTGCTTGCTAAGTTGACCAAACTGGCCTTAAACTTGCAATTCTCCTGCTTCAGCCTCCCAAGTAGCTGGGATTACAGGCATGTACTGCCACGTCCAGTGGAATGGTAGTCATTCTTGAAAGCTTATTAAAAGCTCTTTTTTCTCCAGGAAACCCTCTCACCTTTCCCTTGCCACTACGGCCCCAATCTCACAAGCAAATGAACTCACTTCACCCCCTTCTCCAGTTCATACTCATTTTTACCTCTAGACTTTACCTTGGGTTCATCTAAACCAGAGGGTGAGCTCGAGGGTCAGAGCCTTTTCATTCACCTTTATATCCCCCTTGAGTTCCATAATTTAGCTCCTTGGAGATAATAAGCATGCAAAATGTATTTGTTAAATTTAACTACTTTCTCTTCCCTGTAGGGCTGATACTTGCACGAATCAAAATCTCAAAGAGAGCGAGGTGCAGTGGCACATCTCTATTTGAAGCACTCAGGGAGGCTGAGGCAGGAGGATCACAAGTTCAACTACTGCCTGGGCAACTTAGCGAGACTGTACCTCAAAACAAATACATGCATACGTACATACAGGGCTGGGGATATAGCTCACTGGTAGAGCTCCCCCAGGCTTGATCCCCTAGTATTAGAGGGCAAAAAAAAATATCTTGAAGAAAACAGGTGAATGAACAATTAGTTCACCACAGAAACAGGTAGTGAATTATTCCCTTTAATATTCTGATGTTTTTATTTTTAAACACAACTTGCTTTCCATTTCACTACCAAAGATGGAAAAAATGAAAGAGGATAAGCCCTGACAGATTGGGAGTCAGTTAGGAAAGTGCACAAAGAAGTGAAGTGTAGGGAAAAAATCAATACACAGGGCCTTGGATCTAAGAATTCCATCAGGGGTTCTTCATCCATGACTAGCCCTGGGGTAAGCCTACTGGCCTGACTGCCTCATCTTCTGTTGGCAATCTGACACTAGTCATCAGTTTAAAACTACTACTAGCTTCATTTATCAGAAACCACAGGATTCAGGTATGAAAGTCTGAAAGGCTAAGTTTCTTAGGTCAGAGAGGGGGCAGGCATAATATTAAAATCTGAGGACAAAAGCAAGGGTCATCCTCATAAAGACCAAACAAAGCCAAGAAGTACCTCCCCCTTGTCCAGCTGCATTTGCAATCAGCAACAGGTGAGGGCTGGGCTAAGTTACGTGCTCCCCTCCCCCAGAAGAACATGGAGACACGGAGAGTAAAAGAGACAGAGATTACACCTCATGTCAATCTCATTGAAAGTAGTCAGCATGGCACACGTATTCTGGGCCTCCTTCAGACGCTGAGCAATTCGCTGCCGCATCCTGTTCATTTTCTCCTGAAAGTGAAAGTCAAGTATTGACAATCTGATCTCTGGTTCAAGGGTTCCCCACGTCGTCGGACAATTAAGCTTGCCAGGAGGAGGCAAGCACTAAGATATTTAAGTAGGACAAGAGCTCCAGGCATCCCCTTTCCTGCGGTGGCCTTCCTCCTCTGAGCAACACAGAAAACAGAAGCCAAAAGTACTCACTCAGACGTGCCTGAAGTTTGACCAGGCACTAAGCTGTGATTTAAAAACCAAAACCAGTGCACAGAAAGGGAGACTGTGGTGGAGGTCTGTCTAGCCACTCTAAGAATCACGACTGAAGGGACAATTTCTGTTGGTGAAGACTTACATGAACAGCTGCTAGTCAAACGGAACCTCACAAGCAGCCAACTTCTGAGGCTCAGTATTTTTAGAATGTGTTCTGAGGCAGAGGAACCCACACTCCTGACCCTACTTCCTTGAGATTTTATCTTTGGCCTACAGAAACTGCTACTGTGTATCACATACCTTAACTACAGCTATGTATCCAGGAAATACAGGGCTAGAGCTCTAACTACCTCTCTAAAGGTGCACCCCTCCGGTGGTGGGATGTGTATTACTAAGTCACCATTCCCTGCAGTATTTCACTCATGGGCATTTCACTGGTAGCATAACCCAGTCAAAAAGCCACTGTGGGAAAACCCCAGGACAAGGGGAAAACAGTGAAAAAACCATGGGACAAGTGCAGAGAGGACCCCAGGCTCCAGTGCTACCCTTTGGCGGTTACGTGACCACACACGAGCCCTTTTCCATCCCTGATTCCTTCATCGAGGCCATCGGCTGCCCTCCGTTCAGTGGTAGGCACACTCACCCGTACTCCGTTAACCCCAACACTGCCCCCACCTCTTTCCTGGAGGGGGTCCTCCGAGGCTTACCCGATGCTCTGAACGCACCCCCCGGCCAACGCCTGGGTCAGCTAGTGGAGGTGCAGCTGTGGGCTTAACTGCAGAGACTGAAAATAAAGAGAGAAGGTACAGCTGTATCAGAGGAGAAAGGAACAACTCCTGAGTACATGCCAGTGCATTCATCCTGAACTATCAATCCTCAAGATACTCTGAGATTGTTCTATCACTCCAACTTCACAGATGAAAAATCTCAAGAAGTATCCCAAAGTCACACAGCTAGCAAAAGAAAACTGGGACGTAAACCCAGATCTGCAGATACGAAGTCTAAAGACTATTATTCAAAGCCGCCAACCTGTTCTATAGCTGGTGAAGGAACACGGTGTGTGACAAAGTGTCCTCCAAAGTGAAAGACGGGGGAGTTGGCGGCTTACCTGGTTTGCTGGAAGAAGGCTGTGAGGGGGAGGGCACCGGTGGCATCTGAGTAGGTATGGCGGCCGCAGAGGGAGGAGGAACTGCTGATACTGTAGGCTCTGCTTTCGGGGTTGCAGTAGGAGCTTCGGCTGGCTTGGCCTTGGCAGGAGCAGCTAAAAAAGAAAAACAGACATCACTGGCACTGTCTGGAATGACAACCAAATCGCAGATTCTAAGCAAAATTTACTGGCAAAAGCCCTATTTCTAATCCATTAACAAATGTCTACTGCATATTTGCTATATGCAAGACACTACAAGATATATATATAATGATATAAGGCACTAGCTCTATTCCCCGGGCTCCCTAAATGCCCTGCATCAGATTAAGTGGCTCAATTTAGCTGCCTTCCTGATTTCACATCTATCTACTGATTGCCAAACTCAACCACCTGGTGCCGCCTTCCCACTGAGCTATGTCCCTGGCCCTTTTTAGGTTTTACTTCGAGACAGGGTCTCACTAAGGCACTAAGTTGCCCAGGCTGGGCTTGAATTGCCATTCTCCTGCCTCAGCCCCTCAGTGTATGCCACCATGCTCGGCTCAGCAGGTATTTTCAAAGCACCTACTCAGCCCAAGAAAACGCAAACTTCCAAGCAAAATGAGCTCAGGAAAGTCAGTATTAAAATATACAGAGAAATGTAAACATTTCTAATTATAGTAATACTGATAAAACTCATCTATTCTAACATTACATATAAAAGAATACTCTCGTTTGTTTGTTTTTGAGACAGGATCTCACCATGTAGTCCATGCTGGGTTCAAGCTCACATGTAGCCCAAGAGGGTTTGAACTTGTGATCCTCCTGACTTAGCCTCCTATATCCTAGGATTACAGGTATGCATCACCATGCTCAGCTAGAATATTCTGCACCATTAAAAAGTAGTTTAATCACAGGCTCATTTAAACTTCAGAGTTCAGAAAGCACTTCATCCAGGATGATGTTCACACATCAAGGAGACAGTCACACAATAAACAGGCAGCTTTAAATCAGATGACTTCAACTGTGACCCATCTGAAGATTATACCCAGTTTTATACTTAAATTATAAGAATTTTCTTGTGACGTTAAAAAAAATAAGTGATCAGAAGATGAATTTCAACTGGAAGATGCATTCTTACTTCGTAGTCTACTACTGTACATTTTTTCCCACCTCAAATTCCTCTTGGCCTGACCAACCTCAGTGACACAATCTGAGGTATTTCTGCCTATTTTAACAAATAAAAGGAATAGATGCTGGCAGTCATAAGCATCTGATGAGAGCCAGCGAAACACCTGACACTGCCCATGAGGTCCAGTACAAACCCCTTTCTCTCTCATTTCTTCCCAAGAGAAATACCAGAGAAGTCACAGGAGAATAAAAACTACACCGAATTCTCCAAAACAGAACTTTTAAAATAATTCTCACTGGGCTGGGGATATAGCTCAGTGGCATAAGTGCCTGCCTGGCAAGCTCAAGGTCCTGAGTTCGATCCCTGGTACCACAAAAATAAATAAATAAATAAATAAATTCTCACTTTAGAATACTGTCTCTCAGTCCTGACTGTGTATCAGAATCACTTGGGGAGCATAAAGAAATCAAAATCTCTGGGTCATGGTACCTAACACTGCTTGTTTGTATGTACATATTGTGATACTGGGTACTGAAGCCAGATCTTTGCACTGAGTTATATCCCTAGCCCTTTTTTAAAGTTTATTTTTATTTTGAGACAAGGTCTCACTGAGTCACTAAGTTACCCAGGCTGGGTTCAAACTTGTGATCCCATTTTTCAGCTCTTCAGAGTGCTGAGATCACAGGCATACACCACCACACCCAATTACTTGTATTACTCTCAAAGTTCTTGTATGATTGTGGTGCCTTGGAGAAGCGGGGACTACCTTCAGAATTGTTGTTTGTGACCGTAAGAAGAGGTCCAGTATAAGAAACATCCATGGATGTTGACATTTAAAGTTTACTCTATATAATTATTACCCTTCCTATACCCTCAACTGAGGGCAATTGGAACCCCAAAGAGTCTCTGAAGTATCAGGGAATTATTAGTACAGTATGCTCGCCCCTAGGCCAAAGGGGAAACACTGGAGACCTTGACCGCCCGGAGAACTTCTTTACCACCAGTTTTCCTGAGTGTGAAGAGAGGAGTGCCTCCTTCAACTTTTCCTCCATCAGGTACCAAAAGAGCTTCAATCACACCATTTGCTGGTGATGGAACCTGCACAGATGTCTGGAAAAAGAGGGAAGGTAGACAGAAAGATTCCACATTTTTACCCTGCATAAGCACATTAATTGTATGAAATCCTCAACATGAGTCACAAGAGCTGCAACATGATTTATTCAAGCCCCTGCATACAGAAACACCCAAGGCCACACTTTCTGAGTCAGCAATGACAAGTCATTCCTGTTGTGAAGACTCACCCTCTCTATCCTGTCCTGGAAATCTTAAAACAAATTCAGCTAATGTGTTTCCAAATGATACATGGAAAAGCAATTGGAACAACTTACGCATCACAAAGGGAAAAAAAGACTAATGTTATAAAGTTACTAGCTGCCCTGAGTACATACTTGCAAAAAAATCTAAAATACTTTTTTAATGAGTTACTCCAACACTTTTATAAGGGAGGTTAGAGCTAGTTAAAAATTATCTTTAGCAAGGTGTGGTGGCCCACACCTGCAATCCCAGCACTCAGGAGGCTGAGGCAGGAGGATCATTGCAAGTTCAAGGCCAGCCTGGGCTACAAAGTGAGCTCAAGGCCAGCCTGAGCTGTATAGCGAGACCCTGTCTCAAAAAGACAAAAAAATAAAAAAAAAATCTTTAAAGAACAGTTAAATCCTTGTTTCTTTTCTTAGATTAAGAAGCCCATAGTTGATCATAAAAAAATTACCTCCAATATGTGACAAGCTCACCTTATCCGTTTCAATCTCACAAACCACTTCATCTTCTGCAACTGCGTCCCCAACAGCTGAAAAGACAATCAAAGGCTACCTGTCAGGGGAGGGCCTCCAGCAGCCATGAGAGTCTCTGCAGATGTGTTATACACCCCTTTTCCACAAGGCTGGGGCATGTAGCTATGTATCCGTGTAAAAGAACAGGTTGTAAAGCCATAGGTTCTGCTGATCAGCACAGGGTAAGGGAGCCAGTTAGAGAAGTATTTAAATTTAAGAAGTGAGAGGAAACTACTTATGCCTACCTTTCTCCCACCTGACGTCTCCCTCTGTGACAGATTCTGCAAACGCCGGGGTATTGACTGTAATCACATCGTCCTCTAGGAATAAAGCAAAAATCGCAAGTAGCCCTTTCCTCTCCTTCTAAGGCTTTCTCTCTCACTAACCCTGGCCAGCTGTGGCTCTCGCCACTATAGCGCGGTGCGTAAGGAAACAGGTACTCACTGCGCACAGCTGTGGTTTTGAAGTATCGAACGCTGCAGACACTGCTGCTGTCAGCACTGCAAAAGAAACAGAAACGCTCACTGCTTTCGTAGGGGAGTCACTCACATTTTAGTCTAGTTCGGGCACTACCAGTCGCCTTCCCTCTAAATCAGTGACTCTTGGCCAGGGTGCCCGTCACTGTTACCCAGAGGAACTTGTCAAAGTACTCATGACCAGGCCAGATCCAGAGATTACGACTTAGCAGGTAGGGAGCCAGAGCCCTGGTGGCCTGTGTGCCTTGTACAGTGTCCTGTACTGCAATGAAATGCCAGTTCTCACAAAGAGAGACACTCAGTTATCTGAAGAAAAAAAAGAAGCATCTTGTTCCACTGGAGACCCCTAGATTTAGCTTCTAAATTAGGTTAACTAACCAAACCCAAATAAGATATAAGTCATGTCCTCAGGGGCACATGGCGATGTACCAAGTATACTGGAATTTGCTGTTAGGATTACAGATTTTTTTTTTTTTTTTGGGTACTGGGAATTGAACTCATGACCTCAGGCTTGCCAGGCAAGTGCTTATGCCACTGAGCTATACCCCCAGCCCTAGGATTACAGATTTAGATCAGATAAAGCAATACGATATGACATTTAACTCAGAAGTAAAACAAAGTGTTATGCCCCCCCAAAAAAACCATCATGGTATCTTAAGTTCTCTTGCTCAGAGACAGCACATTAGTCCATTCTAGATTCATGCCAAAAGAATCTCCAAGACCAAGGCATTTTCTGGTATGGCATTTACATTAAACAGTATGAAGTGAAGAATGATACCATCTTACAGGCATAATCACCTTTGGAGAACGTGAGGTATAGACATACATGGTAACAGCTTTACATAATTTGAGAGAATGGTTTATACTGATGGGGACTTTAACTTTTTACCTGAAGGATTGCATGGATACTCAACAATAAGCACCTTTACAATAGGAAAATAAAACATTTAAATTGCCTTTTTTTTTTTTTTTAACTTTTATAATACCAAAATAACTTTGTAAGGTCACATAGACTCAAAATATTAAAAAAAAAAAAGGAAAAATGTAAATTTTTAAAAATACAGACCACAAAATGCTGCTTGTAATCATATAAAAATTCCAGCTACTCAAGAGTCAGGCAGGAGGATGCCAGGGTTTGACACCAGCTGGGGCAACTTAGCAGATCCCGTCTCAGAAAGAAAAAAAAAAGGGCTGGGCATGGAGCATGCTGATGCCCTAGGGCAGAGCCACAGCACCTGGAGCCGAACAGAACCAAAAATGCCTATGGGCAAGAACTAAGGAATAACACAAAGTGCAGAGACAGCTCTGCCAGGCACCAGGGACCTGGGGCGCCTGCTGCTCCCCGAAGAGGCACTCAGTGGGGCTACAGTACAGCAGGGCTACTCTTTTTTCGCCTTTTGAATTCTGGACCATGTAATGACCTGTTAAACAAAAACACCGAAAAAATTTTTTTTAATTTTAAAAATAAAGTATCTCCTTCATAAGAAAAAAAAAGGTAACACGTAACATAAAATTAGGTATTAGCCTAGGATGACACAATTAGGGATGAGCCAAACCAAAGCTAGTGGGTTTTTTTAATAATTTACTTTCAAATACTCATTATATTTATTATATAGGGATTAACTGTTGCCCAACTTTCATTTAAACTGCAGATGAATAATGCATGTTGAGTCTAAGTAACTTTTTTTTTGGTACCGGAATCAAACTCACAACCTCGTGCTTGCCAGGCAGGCGCTGTGCCACTGAGCTATATCCCCAGCCCCCCTCCAATAACTTTTTAAATTATAAAAGCATTGATGAGCTGGGCATGGTGGCGTACTCAGGACGCTGAGGCAGGAGGATCACTGCAAGTTCGAAGCCAGCCTGGGCTACAGAGTGAGACCCTGTCTCAAAAAAAAAAAAGCACTGATGTTCACTACAGAATATCAGAAACAGCTAAAAAAAAGTTCATAATGGGATTGTACCATGCAGCAGAAAATGCAATCACTCTGTACTGTAACCTGCTTTTTCCCACTGTCACAGCGTGAACACGTTAACAAGCTATAGCTTAACCCTGACGCCTGCCATTTTGAAAGAAAGCTCAGTGTGCCGTATTAGCTCTTCAGAGTAGATTCCTAGAAATCAAACTGCTAGATCAACAGGTACACACGATTCAATACTCTTGATTGCCAAATTACCCTGCGAAAAAAGCACAGGAATTCAAACTTCTAGTGTGCATGCAACATTTTCTGAATTAAACAAAATTCATTGTGATGCACATTAAGGAAGCTAATCTGCTGTCTCTTCACTTTGAAGATCCCCTGAAGACAAAGTGGTTTCACAGCTCTTAAGCAAGTGACTGGAGAGCATCCTCTTACCACTCTGAAAGCACTTGGAATGCAAAGTAGCATTATGCAATGTTTCTAAGCTGGCGTTAATCTGAAATACACACGGGGAGCCTTTCTCCAAACTCTGCATTACTTGGTAGCAGCATTACATCTGAACTAGTCAAAGTACCAGGGATCAGCTAATCTTCAGTTTTCACTGTTTCTAAAATGAGGAACTACGCTAGCGAGAGGATGCTCTCAATAAACATGACCTCCAGCCCTTCAGCTGCACTTGTATCCAACTACAACACTTAGCACTCTTCTTTCCTACTCCCATAAAAGAGAGTTCCAACTTATCTTCTGCTATAATCTAACTACCTGAGAGCAGCTATACTCTTGATCCAATGGCAAGGGAGAGCCCCCATGGTATACCATAGATATAAAGTGATCACCAAGGTTAGGCCCAGGGGCTCCACACAGCCACCTCCATTACTAGGTCTGGAGACCAATGAAGAAACAAGAGGGTCAAATTTAGAATTGGTATCTAAGAAAATACCTGGTGGCCACATATCTGTACTCTCCGTGATACTTACACAATCTTCCTGCTGTCAGGGTAACTTGGTCCCTGACATAAGGAGACCCCTGTAAGAAACAAAACAACTCTTAACCAACAACTCTTATCTTATACAGGATATGAGATGGAAAAGAGGTCTGCTCATCCCCTCACCCCAAGACAAGCAGTACTAGCTGTAGACAATATAATTTTTATCACACTACGTCTTGGTTCTCAAACTTTTCCAGCAAAGTAACCTTAACAGCAGAGACAAATGGATATGAGTGGTTAAGGGTGGGTATGTGTTTAGGGATGAAAGGAGAGATATCTGATGGCATAGCCCAAAGGGGTTTTATCATCTTATTTACCTTAGAGATTCATAAATTTGTATTATCCCTGATTTCCTCATAAAATGTCTCTACTCCCTAAATCTTCAAATACAACGGTAGCGTGAAAAATGACATGTGACAGCTTATTCTGTAACTTCACATAATCTAAGTGGAGAAACAAGGGATGTTTGGTCTGGGTTTGAGTGAATTGGGTTGGAAACTTTCCTGTTCAAGCCCTAGCAGCAGACAGAGCTACTTTAGACCTAGGTCTCCAGGTTGTTTCCAAACAAAGCAAGTAAGTTTCCCAGCTTTCAACTCACTGTCTTCCTGTGGTCTTCCTGAAGTCTTCCATCCTACTCAAGCTCAACAGCATGAGATCCCCTTTCTGCCCACCAACTGTCTTTATAGTAACTGCATTTCTTCCACTAATACCTAAAAAACCACTGCTGCCTCCTCTAAATATACTCTTTCCCCCACTCCAGATCTACTAAGAACTCCTCCTAAGACACCAATCCAGAGACACCTTCCTCTTATGCCCACCACCTCACAAACGTTCCCAGATCAAGTCAGTCAGTCACCTCTGTGACCAGCACCAAGGACTGCAGTGCAAATTCTAAGCATAGCATGTCTTTGACCTAGAATACAGCAGCCATGATTTTTGGAACCCTGAGTCCAATTCAGAGTTTACCCTACAGAAAGTATCATTTTTTACAGTGCTTTAGGGTTATAAAAAACTTCTACATATGACCTCTTTCTGATCTTCAGGGTTCACAGCAGCGCTGTGAAGTAGAATGACCACCTGCCATCATTCTTATTTCATATACAAATAGGGCTTCCCAAGGTGAAGTTACTAACCCAAGGTGAGTCCCCAAGCCAAGCGGCAAAACCCCAGCTGCAAGGCTCCTTTCTCTACTATGCCACTCTATAAAGTGGAGAAAAACGTTTGTGACCTCTTTCACGATTCCCAGCTGAAAAGTTAGCTCATTACTGAGACCCCACTATGCACCGACACAGTGCTAGGTGTCTTGTGTTCTCCTGGCTCTTAGGATAAAGTCCAAATACTTTATAGTCCTGTAACATCCAGGCCTATCTTTCAAGGCTTCCTTTACATTTCTATAACTGCTCAAGTCCCCTCCTGCTGGCAACCTGTGCACAAACTCTCCACCTGGAGTATTATTTTTCTGGCTGCCTCAGGTATCCGCCAAGAGTCGGCTTAAACGCTGCTTCCTTGGAAGACGCTTTATCAACACTCTCCTTGCCTTCCCTATCCTCCCAAGCGCTCTACATCCTGCCAGCCTCTCACCACACCCAGTACTTTTCTTCCCTAGCAACCACAATGTAATTATGCCCTTGTGTGCACTCGCTCTGTCTCTGCAGCCGGCCGGGACGCTCCTTGAGGGTAGAGACCATCTGTCTCCCCATCACCTGGCACAGGGGCTGGCCCTGTAGTGAGCACGTGAAAAATCTGTTGAGTAGATGAGTAAATGAACACATGACAGGTTAATGACAGGTTAAGACTTCAGGCTGAGGAAGAAGTCAAGTGGCTCCAACGTGACTAAGTCAAGTTGGCTGTGTGACCTTGGCCAGGACACTTAACCTCTCTGGTCTTGTATTATTCATGCGTAAAACAGAGATAATACATCTTTTGTTATTTCATGAGGATTAGTTTTAAAATTGCAGAAATCACTCAGAACAAAGCCCAACACAAAATAAGCTTACAATAAGCGTGACTCATTCAATAAATATTTATGCCAGGCATTTACTAAACCATAAGCCATGTGTATCTATCTCCCTCCCCCTGCCACCAAAGACAAAGCAAAACAAAAACTACTGGGATAAAATCTGAACTTCCAACGTCTCACGACCTCTCCCTCAACAACAGCGCTGTGGTCAAATTGCCTTTTTCGGGAGCTCTGTGGGCGCTGACCCCTCGCTCCTGCTCGTCCCTGCACCAGCTCCGTCCAGCCCTCGGGTCACAGCTCTAACTTCCCCGCTTCAGAGCAATCTCTACGCGCACTCTCACGCCCGCCGCCCCGCAGCACCACAGCTCGCGCCCGCCCGCCCGTTCAGCAGTGTCCTCCCGCCGGCCCGCACGCTCCCCGGGGCGGGGTCGGGCACCGCGCCCGG